CCGCGGGGCCCGGCGGGCCGAGCCGCCTGAGGGGCTCCAGAGCGACCTCCGGCTGGTCTTGGGCCCCGCCGCTCCCGGTTTGGAATAGGCTGCGGGAATAAACTGGAGGGGAAGGACCGAAATATGCCAAGTGTTGTTCCTGCTGGGAGGAAACACTGTGTGTGGTTCGTTTTGGTTAAAGAGAGAAGTTGGGAAGTAAACCAGATCCCACTGGCCTTCACCCTGTGCCTTATTTGGCTACTGAAAAATTGCCGGGCTAAAAATGGATCTCATTACTGCTGAACCTGTAACTAAAACAAGCAAAATATTACACACACACACACACACCCCCAAGAATAAATGAAACTTCTCATCTTTTTGAAAATGGTTTGCCATTAAACCGAGGTACTGCCCATCTAATTGCTTCTTTAATCGGGTCGCAATTTCTGTGTGGAATTCATGTAAACGTGTGTGTGTGTGTGTGTGATACGGAGGCAATTGGTTCATTTTGCAGCTGCTGCAGGAAACGGTTCTTGTGGTCTCTAGTGCACTATGGCACTGAGTAACATGCTGCCCTCTTCCCTTCAGCATGCCTTGAGCCCCTTCAAGTGAAGCATATTCTTAATTTGGCTATGTGCCTAACATACAATCTTCTAACAACATAGAGTAAAATATAATGCTCAACTGACTGGAAATATTCTCCAAATTTAATTCCCTTCAGTGGAAGGGAATATGCAATATCTAGAGTTCATACGCGACTATTTAGTTACATTCTTTAAGAAATATGTTACTTTATGAGATATTAAGATTACAGTGTTATTGTGAAATGATTGCAGAGATTAAATGGTAATCTCTGAAACTAAAGCAGAAGAGAGCTGCAACGGCTATTGACTGGTTAATTTAAGTTTTAAATATTTTGTGAAAACATTTTCTTTCCCAAATTACATACACTATGTTGAAGAGTCTGCAAGAATATCTGAGATGTCCATTGCCTATCTGTTGCTGGGCTTTGTAGGAAACTTTCTGAACGTTTCAGTGGGATATTGAGCAGGGCACCAGTAGTAAGAATGGTTGACTGTGACCAACCTATATTAGATTTGAGTTGGAGAATTAGGCAATGGAAACATATATATCCAGTTTTTAATCCCACATGATGTTCTATGACTGGTATAGAAAATCGTAAGAAATCTCGTTACTTACGTGCTTGCACCCAGAGAGCTGAGGAGTCTTGGGAAAAGTACTCTTGCTCTCATCTCTCTGATGACATCTGGTGATGACAAGGTTATGTACTTGAAAAATCATACCCAGTTTGAGGGTATTTGAGATGGATGCAAAAGGAAGAATACTGAATTCTGTACATCTTATTGTTTTCTGGGTAAAGGATTTGAAACTGAAAGAATCCAAATGAAGAAATGTTATTCTTCTGTTATCCCGACTACTGAAGTCTTATTTTATATCAGCGTTGTTCAGTGAATGAAAGAACAGAAGAATGGCAAAATAACTCTTGAAAACTTGTTCAAAAAGGCTTGTTGTGTATTGCATCACTGGCAGTTGCTACTGTTCGTACAGTAAAGAGTGTTCTTGGGTATCCGAAGCACGTTGATGTATATGGTGTATAAAGATCTGAAGTTGAATGCACTTTGTGTATTTTGAGGAAAAGTGAATCTATTTGTTTTAAATTGAAAAAGGTGCTTGTACTGTGAGTGTGCTGAAGTGAACTTTGTGGAAGTAAAATACCTTCTACAAGGCCTCAGCATTAAAAGGTCATGACAACTGTATTTCATCTGCAAATATGCCTGTGAATAATCACTTTGTACTAGTCATGCAAGTATATTTGTATGTGATAACAGTTCAGAGGCTGAAGCTTTGAACATTTTATGTATTTTGCCTCCTGTGTGCTCCAAAACACATTGGTATGAACTTTTTTCGTCAGTTTCTGTTCTTGTGGAACTAGAACATTTATGGCCAGGGAAGTTTCTGAAGCAGTGCAAATGCAGGTCAGAGTCTTGCTACTTCTGCACCATTCCTCCCTGGGTGAAAAGTGAAGTGGTGGTCTGTGCTCTCGTTATGTTTGTGGTTGCTCAAGATGGTCTTGTACTCTTAGTGTTAGTAGGCATCATATTTTAGTTGTTTCTATTTCAGTGTGTTACACTGGAATAGATGCTTTATCCAGAGTATTCATTTTCTGTTAATGTGATGTCTTTCCAAGGGTTTGCAATCATTTGTTTAAAGAAACCTACCATTCAGTGAAGAATGAAGCAATTCTTGTAGCATACCTGCATGTATGTTGTGCATTGTGGCTGTCTTGGATGAAAACTGGAGGAAAAAACCCAACATATTTTATTCAATAAATTTTGCAAAATGGTTTCTGTTATGTCCAAACCACTTGGATGCCAACTACCCCAAACAGTTCCTTTCCCTTTTGTCCTTATATTTGCTAAAGTCACATGTATGTCTAGTAGTAGAATTTATTGCAGGAGCAGGTATGGTTTAACAAGGGGAAGAAGTTGTTTTCTGCTTGTAAAAATTATGTCGCCCTTGTCAGCTTTATTTGTTGACATTGTTGAATGAAACAAATTAAATGGGATGCAATATAGTATTATCATATTGCAATAATTTGTAGAGTGTAAGAGACCGGGACGACTTGCAAAGGTATATACTGTCAGTCTGTTCTGCAGAGGGGTCTCTTTTTTAAAAGAATGAAATACCGTTACAACAAAGTTTGACTGCCTTTTTTGCATATCTTTCATCTGACATCTTTTAGACCAATGGTATATGTTCTTGAAATTGACTTTATATTAAATATTTAGATAATATAGATAGTAGTCTAACACTGTTGAACTCAACTAGCAAGTTGCCATTTAAAGGCAGCTAAGATTTCTTTTGAATGAAAACTGAAATGTCAGTGTTTATACTGATATTTTGAACATTGGGAGGATGAGCAAGTATAGATGTGTAGAATTCATGACAATAAGTTCGGCAGGCATTTTGGGGATTCTTTGAAGAAATCAAACCAGAGACTTCTAAGACAATACAGCCTAGAGAATAGAAAAAGTTTAGCTGTTTTATTGTTTGTGTTTTTCCAGAAATATTATCACTCACTTCATTCTGGCTACAAAAAGAAAAAAAAAAAAAAAAAGCTGAGTAGACTGTGTTTTTTGCTACTGCTAATTCTTCCTATGTTTGTTAAAGGTAGGTTAGATGGGCTGGGATGAAAAAGAGGAAAGACATTCACAAGTATTTTGGATATAAGGAGAAGCATGATAGGTATTTAAACCAGAAATCTTTAAGACTTACATGGCTGTCTGAAAAAAGTTGTATGCTTGTTTTTGATCAAATTATTTTTACCTGAAAGGAGACAACAAATTGTACATAAGACTATAGGTGTAATAAATAATAAACTGACTGTATCAATAGGAAAATGAGATGGTGATAGATTCTGTGGCAGTAAAAGTGATATAGCTTTAAGCTATCACAAATATTTATTGTGTATTATTGGATCAATGAGACAGAATCTGGACAGGAAATTAAATAATCTGCTTACAAAATATTTCCTTTTTGCTTCCAATTCTCAGGTGTCCTTCATTAGTCAAGACTGTGAAGAAATTCCAGAATTCCTAGGAACAAAATATGGACGTATGGCAAAAAGACTAGATCTTAGCTTCAACTTGTTAAGGTATGTGGCAATGTATAAATTTTCAAGTGCAATATGGGACATCATCTCCAAAAATAGAATATTTAATATTATTTTATAAATGTCAGGTCCATTTAGTTGTTATTGAGTGAGCGACGCTGTTTTATAGGCAATGTTTGTCTTCTTTTATTGCACACTTGAAACACAAATAACCAGGTGAGTCTGGAAATTTCTCGTGTTAACACAAATGATGTTTGGTGAGGAGCTTATGGTTTGTTCTCTGCTCAAAATGGAAAATAAGCATCATTAACCTGAAGAAGTGAAGAATGGGATCAAAACTGAGTTGTTCTTAACCAAAATACAAGTAAGTGTGTGCTTCTCTCACTTCTTTTTATTTGTAGATCTCTGGTTATTACCATAAATGGTTTGTAATACTCTTTTCTCAGATTATGTGTTTTTGTTGTATGATTTTATTTTTGGGAAGCTGTGTAGTTAAGTGCTACAACTAAGTGCAGTTAGAATTTTTAAATAAATTCTAATTATTTTAATGTATGGATTGATTTAGAATTCTGTAGTATTCCTGTTAGTTATTACAGTATCTTTTTCTGTTTAATCCTTGTGAGAGAGCCTGGTGAGGTTCAGCCCTTTATCTTTCAGGTAGGCAGCTCTGTAGGTCAGTAGGGAGAAGGGAATCGAGTGTAGTTGTCTGTTTAAGAAAAAGCATAGTTTTTCAGTTATAGGATTGGACTCTTTTGAGTGTTCCTTTTTATGTTATTGAGGATAAGCCTAGAGTCTGCTTGTGAGGAGTAAGACACATAAAAGTATTTTGCTGGTGCCTTGTTCTCCTAGGGGGAACAACTACTGGTTTTAACTTACTTAACACTCATAAGTGTTATCCTGAGCCACTGTCAACTCTGAAGGACTGAGTTCTACATGCAAGAGGTAGCAGAGCAAAGGAGACACTAAACAACCTGTGGATTGTTACTGTCTTCTGGCTGATGACTATGTCTGTGGAAATTGTAATTAGAAGGGAGAAGGGGGAGGGAATCAAATGGGCATTTTTTCATTTTGTCATTAAGATAATTCAAGTTCTGTGTGGGTATTAAGATTTAACATATTGTCAACAAGACGACTACTTCTTTACACCTCTAGAGCTACTACCTCTGGAGAAAAAAAAAAAAGTTTGTTCCTTTCATTTAATGCAAGAACGTTAAATCTAGCTGTAAAAATATCACTTTAAAACTTTAAGTCATTAGTTCATGTTTTCACAGAGAACTTAACTGTTTCTCGGATCTGTTTTTATCCTTTCCTTCCCTATCCAAAACACTATCCCTTAGCCTCTTTTTCAGAAGGAATACAATTTGATTTTATTGGTGTTGGAGGGAAAAAAAAGTGTGTTAAAACCTTTTGTGGGGAAACGAGAGAAAATGCTAGTTTTGGGGTAGCTGCAATCAACTTTTGATGTAGGATAGCTTGATGTAAAAGTATTCTAAGGCCAGAAATCAGATCTGAGGGAAGGGGAGAGGTGTTTGTTTTTGTTTTGTGGTTTGTTTTTTTTTTTTTTTTTGATACGTGTGTGTGTTTGTTTTTTCTTTTTTTATTTTTAGCTTAGGGAAGCTAATACTAAATTAAAGATCAGTAATAGTTTCTATATGCTTAGTATACCTATCACAGCTCTAAGAAACCAAGAATGAAGTATTTATACAGTAGCTGTTCAGGCTGGTCTGCACTCATATATGAACACTGTGCTTGCATATTATAGAGGCAGTTAGGTAAGATGTAGAATAAATGTAATAGCCTTAAATGAATGTGAATATAGAAGAGATGTCTTGGACAGCTGTTGAAGCAAGTGTAAACAGCAAGATCATTGTCATCTTTAAACAAATATTATTGCTTGAAAAATCTGACAGTGTTGTAGTATAGAGATGAGTTTTATGATTTTTATCAATGCATAATTTGAAAAGTTTAGTTTATGTTGTTTTCAGTGGGGAAGAAACTAAGTGTCTCTTCAAAAAAGTTTGATTTTTCTATAAGAACTTGCTGTCTACTGGTAAGAGCACAAGTTGAGTGAAGAAGATCAAAGGTGATCAAAATCTAAGAAAAAAATAAAGAGAATATTGTGCTTTGCTGGCATGATAGTTACTTGCAGTAAAGATGTTAGTTTTTATTATAATGTGATTCATTATTAGATGAGACTATGTATGTTCTTTGAAAGGAAAAAAAAAATAAAATGTCAGTGGTCACTAATTTTTTAGCCCACATTTAAGCCAGAGAAATGCTTAAATATTCAACAGTTACCTGTTCTCAGTGTTAGGCAGTAAATAAGTACTTACCAACCTTTTAAAAATGTTTTTTTTTTTTTTTTTTTTTTTTTTTTTTTTTTTTTGCACATAGGGTTTCTGTGTCCTATTCTCTGTAAGTATGGCTACTACCACTTGTATTTTGGGAAGGAATCATCTTCCTGTAGTAGACAATAAATTCTGTTCTGTAAAAGTATCAACAGAATTTCTGACAACCTACCAGTTACATTCAGAATTTAAGAAATTGAGCATAGAGGGAAGATTTTTCTTCTTTTAGTATTATTTTGTGGACATTAGTATTTGCAGTCATGTTATTTGATGTTGCTATAATGGGTGTAGCTGCATGGAGAGAAAGAGAACTGTCTGTTGTAGTAATGTGTTAAACCTTGTGGTCAGTTGGCAGCAAACTTTTTACAAGACAGTGCTCTCTGTTCTGAACCAGGAGTCGTGTGCGGTTGTAGACCTGCAGTCTTTACTGTGTGCACACACACGCTTATCCATGTAAGAGACTCTTGTCAGAAAGATGTATTTGTACAGTATGATACGGATGTCATAAAACTTTCTTATGAGACTGGTATAATGCAATACTTGATTGAACAATTGCTTTAGTGAATTGTACTGATTTTGATACCACTATAATGTAGATATCTTTGTTGCAGAAGTCAGTATAGAGCCAGGTAAATTATTTTGCTATTTAAGGCTTTCCACTGTAAAGGTGTGTTTTCAGAGACTTATCCAAGTGTACTGGAGAATAGGAAAAGGTGGTAAGTCTGACTGATGCTGTTAGTGGGAAAGAATTAGTCATACTATATTTTGTGACTTACACACAAACAACTCTGGCCAAGCTTGTCCCTTAGCATATTTCAAGAGATGCTGTTGTGTTTTTCTGGGAAATACAACTTGTTTTGTACAAACAATGGAGTTTCTTCCTCCTGCCCTCTTTTTTTTTTTTTTGATAATAATTTTTTTTAAATTAGGGATATCTTCTAATTGTTGGTTGTTTTGACATTTCTTTCTTTCTTTTTTTCTGTAAAGAAGAGTACTTTTGTGGATTCAATATTCTTATGTGTGGTGGTTTTGTTACTCAGATTTCTCTTTTTTTCTTCATGTGTGTGATGTAAACGCATAAATGTACACAGGACTGGACAACTAAATTGGAGGAGGGGAGGGTTGTCATTAGTTCTTTTGTATTGGCAGTTTAATAGAGAGGAAGATGTTTTTTTTTTTTTCACCGATTTTTTTTTCTGACCTCAGAGTTCTTCCCAGGCTAGAACACCTTCCTTGTTACTAAGAAAAATTTGGGCCTATGTAGATGCTTAATTGTTTCTGCATCAGATGTGTAAATCTAATAACAATACTTGATTAAATAGTCACAAAAAAGTTGCTCTTTAAAAGAACTGTCTTTCTTGGTTGCCTTTGACCAATAACTAGTGTCTCTCCTTGATGACACTGAGTGATACATGGATCCACCTCTCTTCTGGCAGCCAAAGCCAAGTGACTGTTACCAGTCGCAATGGTTACACATCTCCCCTTTTCCCTGGGAGAGAAAGGAAGGATAGAGGTGAATGGCAAAAGGGAACTTTTTATGGGTATGTCGGGGAAAAAAGAGGAGTAACACCAATTTGGTGTGTATAAGGCAAAGGGAAAAACTAATGTGTACTTAAAAGCATTCTAATTGTAATGAGCAAGGTACAGTGCCACTGGATTGTCCCTTGTTTACACCCTAGTGGACAGAAATCCTTCAACCCCAGACCGCTATAGTCCACTTATGAATGACTTATTTTCATGCTGTTTTCCTTACAGATTTTGTTTAAATAGTTTCTAATGTCTTTTGTTTCTTTTTGGGACTAAGGGGGGGTTATGAAGAAGATGGAACCAAACTCTTGTCAGATGTACAGCAAAAGGACAAGAGGCAGTTGTCACAGGTTTTGGCAATGGAATTTCCAACTGTTTGTAAGGAAATGCTTCACTATGTGAAAGGTTGAGTATAAGAGGTGCCCAGAGGGGCTGTGGAATCTCCATCCTGGGTGATATTCAAAGTGCAATTGGAAAAAGCTCCAAGCAACCAATCCAACTTTGAAGTCACCCTGCTCTGAGCAGGGGATTGGACTAGATGACCTCTAGATGCCTCTTCCAACGTAAATTATTCTATGATTCTGCAGCTTTATTGGCATGGTCATCATAAAATGGCCTCAGTTGTAGCAGCTCTTCTGATTTGATATTGTTAGTGTTTTTCAGCTATTTTAGAAATGAACTATTTACACTGTGTATTTTCAGTAAGGCATGTTTCAGGAACAGAGATGTTTTGCTTTGGAAATCTGCTCCTGAATCTCTTGTGGCAACTGTATTTGATAGCCTTCCCTGATAATAGAGTACTGTAAAGGCCACTATTTTGTTTCATAATATGTGGAAATCTGGGTCCAATTTAATGAAAGCATGGAGTATGGGAAGGAAAGTCACTGATGTGCCAGTGTTATTGGAAGGCATTGCTGAAAAGGATTTCAAGGGGGAATGAAAAATTACTGTTAATCATTGGAAGTTAAAGATTTCATTAGAAAAAAGAGGTAAATTATAATCACTGGTGAAAATAAAAAAAGGAATGTATAATTAGGAAAGATGTAATGTAGGTAGGGAGTAGAGATTTGGATGAAATACAAAGATTTTTTTTAGATTTATCTTGCTGTCTTGTAGAGAGAAAAAAAACTTGGATAACTTTGTGCCAAATTTTTCCTTTTACATTAAAAGCTAAATACAGTCCAGTGCTTGAATAACAAATATGACTGTTTTTGTACAGATAGGTGCTGTGTTTTTAAAAATAACATCTACAGTCCAATTCAGAGAAGTCCATCTTCTAATATTGCCCTCAGTAGTTTTAAACATGCAAGTTGTTTTACTTACAGAGATTTCTTCTGGGTCTAAGCTATGAGCCGAAAAGGAGAGTGCATCTTTAATCTTGCCCAATGAGGGAGGATTAATCCAATAATTGTGCTCATGGAGATACAGATATCTCTTCCCTCTCTCTAGGGTGCAGATTATTTCTGCTAGAAGCATGAATAATTTGCACAGTGTGTGCTTGTGCATATTTTCCACTGTCCGATTAAGAGGGTATATGTATGAAAACATCCCCTTGAATTTTAATCCTAGTCTGGAATGTTCCTCCATGATTTTTGTAAAATTGAGGTTTTGTAATATCGTCTCTGTGGACTAGAGATTGTTTGTTTCTCTCTTCTGCCTACTGTTTTCTTGCCTGGGGGTATATGCAAGTGGCAGTTTGAAACTGGGCTTCAGTTTTATGGGGCTCTTTTTTTTTCCTCCTTGCCACCTTCTCAGTCTGTGAAGCAGTAAGACATGTAGAACAGGAAGACGAACAACAAAAGAGATGGAAATAAAAGCCAGAATTCAAAACAAAGCATGACATTTTTTTTAAAAGCCTTTAGACTGATCTCTATAGCATTTTAAAATGTTGAAGAAAACGCACTATTGTTAAAACTTTTTGATGGTTTTATTTATAAGGTAGAAAAATATTTTCACCATAATTGGGTAACTCTTAATCGTAGCGTTGCATATTTATCAGTGTGAGGGGCTGTTATTAATGTAGCTGTCATGCACAAACACATTTCTGCATTAAATCCATTTAGTATGTGCATTATTCGGTCTAGAATGTCACCAGGACATCAAAGCCCCCTTAGGCATAAGAGCACAGTGCCCTGCTGTGGCTGCAGAAAGGGCTTGATCAATAAATGTAACATGTTAATGCAGAGCAAATAGAATAAAAGATTTCTTTGACAAGACATGAAAAATCACCTTGTGGCAGCTGGCATGGTGATGCCATTTCAGCGGAGACACTAGCAAAGTTGATCTGACAAGTAAAGAGGAGAGATGATGGTTATAAGGTGCTTTTGTTTCAAACTTCTTTCTTGACCTGTCAGGTTTTGAAGGAGCCTGAATGGCCCTTTTTTGTCATGTGAAAATTGTAGTCTTAGGCAGTTATGAAGCAGTTATCTCTTCTCAAATTGTGAATGCTGCTGTTTAATTGATTCACTTAGCATTTGAAACTGTCACGCATTAATAATTGCTAAATCCTGTAGATACTGCTCCAGTGTGTCATGCTTAAATGTGTAGTTATCAGAAAATTAATATCCTTAATGAACCGATGCTTTCAAACTAGCATTGCATGAAATCTCTTTTGCCCTTTCATTTGCTGAAGGTATATCAGCCAGTTTTCAGAGAAACCCCTCCCGACAGTTGTGTGGTTTTTTGGGTTTTTTTTTTTTTTTTTTTTGATGCCCGACAAATGCCAGCTTTGCTTTGGGTACATAGTGTGCTCAATGACAATAAATATAGTAATTATGCTGGAGTTAGTAATTAACATAATTATAGTCAATTACGACAAATACAGTGCAGAGCTAAATAAATGAGGGTGAGAAATTAGGAAGCTAATTGATTTACTTGCTGCTTTTTCTTGCAACTAGGGGTTGCAGATTTTCTGCAGGAGAAAAAGTGTTGTTTACAAATAACTGATTGTGTTTTGAAATGACTCTGTCTTATGGCTCTCCTGTTTCTTTTACACTGAGGTGAAGAGGAATGAAATATGGGGTGGTGGTTAGGAGAAAGGAACTCAGTGCTTTGAAAATGTATGCCCTTTAATTTTAGATGCTTCTTACAGTATTGAAGGGAAAAAAAAAGTCATGATTCCTTACAAACAACACACATTGCTACGGATATTTTTGTCATATATTTTAATCCCCTTAGATGTCTGTTAGATAATTCAGACTACATATGTGTTTGTTTATTGACATTAGAGAGATCTGCACAGCACTGGATAGCTAAAGAAAGAATTAAAATCGTTCAAGTAATCCAAGTGTGTTGAAAAAATATGCCCTTGTTCAGCCATCAGTTTCAATAATTTAGAACCATTGGACCAGTAGAGATGCATAGTATCATAACATTTGTGCACATTATAATTGCCTGTTTTGTTTCAAGATGATTTATAGTATGTTGTCTGAAGTAAGTGTATTGGAGCTATGCAGTTAATCTGTTTCACTTGCCTTGTTTTTTTGTTTTATTTCAAGCATGACCACAGTTTACTATGTGAAAAGAGAATTAGTATGTTTAAGTATTGAAGATTTTGTATTGCTTTAAAAAAAGAGATGTTCAGTAGTAGCTGAGATTTTTTTTTCTTACTCTACAAAAACAATGATTTACAAATGTTTGTAAATTTTATATTTGAAATAATTCACTGTTTCAAGGTAAATGGAACTGTATTTAGGGACTTCAACAAAGAGATAGCGTTTTCCACAGCTAAGCAACCTGAAATGTATAAATTATTGATAATTCTTTTCTTACTGTTGCAGTAATGTATCAAGTTCAAATGATTAGGCTTATAGTTTGAGGTGGGTACTTAGAGTTTGCCCATAAGGGATGTCCTCCAGTAAGCACAAGATTATATTTTTAAAGTAATATTGAAATTTTATGAATGTCTGAAAATAGATGTGCACTAACACATAATTCTTTAGAAGCAATTCAGCTGGAAATCAATTTGCTAAAAAAAAGTATTTATATACAAGGCATAATTTTAATTATTCTAAATTTACAGATATAGTAGTCTTTCAGATGAAGTCTTATACGTTTATTAATCACTATGGATTACCTTATGCATAATTATCTTTCTGTTAAAAGAACTGTGAAATAGTCTTATCCTACTAGATGGACTGAAGACAAGTACAATGATGGGTTTGCTTTCTGCATGGGAAATACCTAGGGAGTTGTACAAGATGAAGTTTTATAGGTGTATGTATATAGTAAAAATGGAAGGAGGGTACTACTAGTAACAAAAAGGATTTTAGACTTCAAGTATTAATTCTGCTTTTGATAGTTGATAGACAATCAAAACTAAACCTACTCCTTGCTTTCTTCTTCCCCTCCTCTTCCCTCCCACCATGCCTCTCCCTTTTGAAAAGTGGCATTTCAACAGGAACCAGATGTGATCTGGGTAATGTATAAGGAAAACTTGTTTTTTCCCTTTGAAAACTTTAAATAATATTAGAAAATACTTTCAAGGTATACCTTGTCTCACATACAATAGCCATGTCTGTGTTCTGTTATTTTATCATCTTTAAATACTTTCTGACTACAGAATATTTGCCTTTACAAAGTAGTATTTATGTATGTTTCTGTGACTCTTATATTTTCCTGCTGTGTCTTATTTGCAGTCATTGGTTTATTGCTGATATGAAGGGGACCAGTGAATGACTAAATTAAAAAAATATCAAATTAATGGCTTATAGTATGTATTCACTGATTTCAGTATGTGCCAGGGATCTAAGTTGTTTTTTTTTTGATGGATAAGTTATTTTTCCAAACTCAGTAATATATAAGAACAAACTTAGAGTATAAATTGTTGTATTTCAATCTTATACTGGTGGCTGTTATCTTCCTTAGACCCAACAGCCTCTCTTTTTGTCCATTGATCCTTGTGTGACTTTTTACGGCCACGTAGTCACTAACGGACTGTGAAAACCCTGTAGTATATATACCTCTGACCCCCAGTGCTGGCCATTATCCACTGATTTACCCTATCTGACAGATCAGAACCTAAGATTGTTTTCTCTTCTGCTTTTGTCAAGAAGGCTTAACATTGTGGAGGGAGTTGTCTTGAGACTGTATCATGTGGCAGAATTGGGCAAAAGCTGGTTACCTGAACCTATGGTGGGGGTTCAATTTATGTTCATATTGTGTAGTGGAGAATTCTTGGGAGGATTACTAGAGCTGTTAAATCTGGTAAAAATGTTAAAACGTACTGCACAATTTGACATTAAGTAAAATAAGGCTGTGAGCTTGAACTGTTACATCCTTAAATATACCTTGTGAATATTGCTGTGATGGATGATGCAAATTGTTTTTTTTTTTTTGGTGACATCCATCTCTAAGGGGCTGTTGGCAATCATGAGTAAAGGTGAAATCTGTACTCCTGAACAAAGGTGAGTAACAAACTCCTTGAACACTTGAACACAGGTGTGTTGACTTGAACACAGGTGGATGTCATATTAAGCATCCATTGACTCAAAGCTGTTAAGACATTTTGACTGAGGTGAAGCATTTCCCAGTGAACTGATGTTTGCATCACATCCTTTTCTTTGTGTTTGAATGAATGGGGAGTGAACTGCTTTCTCTTGACCTGCTTTCCTGTGTGAGACTAAAGTTGGTTTTTGGAGTGATGTCGGAGACTTAAGTCCACACAGTCTGTGCTTGTTCTCTGGGTCCATGGAGCACAGTCAATCCAGCTCCTCTTCTGAGAACTGAAATCACTCTTAAACAAAAATTAGTTTTTGTTTTTGAATTCTGTTCTGATTGACAGGAATCTGTGTCAGGTTGAGAGAAAATAGTTAATAAATGGAAGACTACTGCAATCTATGGAAAGTATTTGCATTTGGAGGAGAAATAGTTTGATGCATTGGTTTTAGCTTTAAAAGAATGACAATAGTTTGCAATTAATGTCTTGGTGACTTCTGCATAGTCTATGGCTGTCTGGATTTTAAGACTCAGACCTACCTTTTTTTTTTTTTTTTTTTTTTCCTTTTAAAGAGTACTGGGGTTTAAAGAGAAAGGCATGATAAAAAATATGTTGTAAGTATAGTAATCAGATGGACCGTTCCTGCCTTCTGACTTCCTTAATCTCTCTTACTCTAAAACAGTATTTCCTCATCACTGCTGTTGTGAAACAAGAGCGAAGGACTACAGAAATAACTGTTGTCTGAGGACAAGGAGCTTGACTGAAGGGAAGAACCTGCATTAACCCTGGAGCTATTGTCTTTGTCTTTCCCTCTCTGTTTTGTTGAAAGGTATCTTCTCTCCTTAATACAATACACAAGATTCTCAGCATCTAGTTACAGATCCAGTTTCGCTTACCAGTCAATGAGTAAGAAGGGTCTGTGTCCTCTGGTATTCAACAAACCTCTGAGTGGTCATGATACAAATAGGTAATTGGCATTTGGCAGGTAAAATCCTTACAAAGCTTCTGTTTATGCATAGTTTGTTTGTTACATGTTGTCTTGTGTGGTTTGTGCCATTTTAAGATCTTGCATTTTACATAAATCATCTCTACGTAAATTATCTTGGAGATGATTTTTCAGATTAAAAATCCAACCCCCCACACCCTTAGCTCATGCAAGCATGAAGAGTGAGTAGCATAGAAGTGCAAAAGGGCCATGCATTTTTCTCAGGCTCAGGAGCCAGCATGTCAAGCCAGACATGCTATACAATAATTATACTGTATTTAAGGTCATAGTTAATGCAGTGTTTTAGCTTAGTTGCAGGCTTTATCCCTGGCAATCATGTGAAGTTTTATGGTTTTTATTTCTGTTTTTGTTTCGTTTCTCATGGTCTTTCTTTTTGACTATGCTTGCTTGAGTGAGTTGCTCACTGGTAGAGTTGGAAGATCATTTCCTTTCTTTATAATTTCTTCTCTATTTTTAACTTAATTGCCCACTGAGTCTGGAAGTGGTAGCAGTGAATGTGCTTTGTATAATACAACTGTATGAATTTGTTAATTTTAAACCATCTCATTGATCAAGTTTGTAGGAGCCCTTGCTATGGTGAAAGACTATAGAAATCACTTTTAAAAGAACACAAATAAGAGATACAAATGTTAGGGGATAATTTGTAATCCATTCAAAACTCAAGTGAAGTTGATGATAAGTTCTTGCAAGTTGGACCAAACTTGAATAGCTTCTCTTCAAGTGCTTGAGTGTCTAATGTTTTTCCTGAGCAGTTGATATATGAGCTGTACTGGTAGATAGCAGTACTTGAATGTGTGCACACCTCCAGTTCATTTTTTCATAAAAAGCATAGTGTGTGTGGCGTGCTGTTGTCAGTAGTTTACTGGCATTTAATACACATGTGCACACACAGAAACACACACACAAGACAACATCTTATATATATAAACATATTTATAATATATGTAGAATGCCTTATATATTATAATATATAAATTATATTTTTAATATATAAAAATTCGGGGGCGATACTCTAGTATTTGGTCTACTTGCATTCAGCATTTTGTCATAATCTTCTCATACTCAGCCTAAAAAGAAAGAACATATTACATGTTACTAACAAAAAAAGATGCAATAGTTCAGAGATGGGTGATTCGGAGAGATAACTAACCTTGAAGGAATTGGATCAGAATAGGAACAGTCATGGAGTAAAAAAGTACTTAAGTAACAAGAAATTACAAACTTCTATCTCCCTTTTCATAACTTTATCCAAACCTACCTTCATTCTTATGGGTTTTTGTTATTTTAAACTCTCTACTCCCTTCTTCACTCCCTCCTCCATAAGCTCTCAGAAGTATTCAGTATTGGTCTTGGCATCAGTTCTTATTGAGGCTGATATGAAGAAAGTTACATCAGCATGGTGTTAGTCCAGTGGTGACTGATGCATATTTCAGTTTAAGAGGTGTTTGGCATAGATAGCAACTCGCTGTGTTTTGGCTTGGTAAAAGTCAGGCTCTTGCTCTGTTGATATTGTTGCACTGAAGGCTAGAATGACAACATTTAGCTTATTACTTGTCAAGTCCAAACTTTTTTTTTTTCTCTTTTAAAGCTGACAAGAGAATTAAAAAAGTTGTGGGGGATTTTTTGGGGGGAATTTTTGTTTGTTTGTTTTTACTATGAGACTTACATGCCCAGTTCTCTCAACTGGTTCAATTTTACATGATATACTGGATGGATATAACTGTTTTGAGTACGAATGCTCAGTCCTTAATTTTTTAATTTGCGTTAAGCACCATTTTTCAGTGCTTGCTTTTCTGAGTGTTAAAAGATGGGTATAAAATATACTTAATGATAGCGAAAATGTGGCTCATATTTTGTGAGCCAACCCTACATTTCCCATTTGGTAAGGTGGGCTGACTGGTGCTGTTTGTTCCTTGTGAATACGCCCAATGGAAAGACATCATATTGCTCAATGTTTTTAAATTACATTCAGAAATGTGAACTGCCTTTCCCTTAGAATATTAATCTATGATCAGACATGCAAACGGGCAACTCAGTTTATGAATTTAACAGAAAAGGTACCTATTACCTACATTTAATATATTTTTTTTTTTAAATTATCATTTGCAACCATTAGTCTGAAGATCAAAGTTAACATGTGTTCTTTATAAGAGAGGCATGTACTTGTGGTGACTTAAATGACTTCTTTAGTAATTACTTTGGATATTTATTTATCATGAGTATTTTAACATATTTTCTTTTAATGATTTCAAGACCAGTATATTTTAATTTTAAATCCTTAGGTGTTTAGGAGCATCCATTTACCTACTTAGAGCAACAAAGCAGCTTTTTATGATAAGGATATGGCTAGGGAAGTTTTATTTTTGTGACAGTGATTTGAGGTTTCTGTTCATCTATTTTTGGTCTTGTTCTCTTTTACCAAATGCTAAAAATGCATTTTATCTCTTTAGCATAAAATCTCTTAAAGCACAAGGAAATGCCTCAGAATTGTTCTGGAACCATTGTAGATGTGAAGGCTCCGAGACTTGCTACAGTGCTATGACTTTGCAAGGCCACGTAGCTACAAAATCACTGGATGAGGATGCTGTGTTTTAGGCTCCTAGGACTTTCAAGACCTTTTCGCTGGAGAGAAAAGGTGAAAACTTGACCTAGTTATGTAAGTGATAAAGTGTACTTATTATTGTAAAGCACTTAAAAGCCGAAGGAAAGGTGTTCTAGATGTGCCAAGGATTAACAGTATATTGACTATTCAGAAAACTGTGTTTCTAACAGCTATGTTAAGATAATTTGACAGTCCAGTGTGTGTAAGTTAAAATTACAGCTGCTCCAGGATCTGAACATTTTCTACCTATTATCTTGTGTTTAATACACTATTTTAGACAGTGAATTACTTAAGAATAGCACAGAAACAGTCATGTGTTGCTGTGGTTTAACTCCAGCTGACAACTAAGCACCACACAGCTGCTTGTTCACTCCTCCCACCCAGTGCGATGGAGAGAATAGAAAAAAAGTTAAAACTTGTGGATTGAGATAAAGACATTTTAATAGGACAGAAGAGGAAGAAAATAATAATAATAATACTAATAATGATAATGATATTAAAATTACAATAATAATAATAATAAAAATAATTAGAATATCCAAAATAAGTGATGCACAATGCAATTGCTCACCACCCACTGACTGATGCCCAGCCAGTCCCCAAGCAGCGATTGGCACCTCCAAGTCCCACCATTTGTATGCTGAGCATGATGTCCTATGGTATGAAATATCCCTTTGGCTAGTTTGGGTCAGCTCTCCTGGCCATGCTCTCTCCCAGCTCCTTGTACACCTCTTCACTGGCAGAGCATGGGAAACTGAAAAATCCTTGACTTCAGATAAAAACTACATAGCAACAACTAAAACATCAGTGTGTTATCAACATTATTGTCATACTAAATCGAAAACGCAGCACTGTACCAGCTATCCGGGAGAAAATTAGCTCTGTCCCAGCCAAAACCAGGACATGTGTGAAGGTGATTATGTTGGAATGGCTTTGTGAAAAAATTGTCAAATACTATGTTTTCGAAGAAAAGGAAACTAGTCAACCAAGTGAGAGGCTGTATATGTGTCAAATTTGCTTCCTTTTTTCACTATGTGCCTTCTTTTCTTCTTCCCCACTGCTTCCAGCTCCTTAAATCAGCAGAAGGCCGCCCAAAGTGCTGCTGAGAGATTTGGGTGTAAGAACGAAATCATGAGGTTCTTGCTTTTTTGTGAATGCTCTCTTCTGTTCACTGTGTTGCTTGTAATCAGGAGCCAGGCGTTAGCTAGCTCGTTCCTGTACAATATTGGTTCCAGTTCTACCAGGTGCACAATTAGAAAATTATCTTCCAGCCTAAGTGGGGAATGTCAGAGGGCAGTTTGATGTCTTTCGCTGTTAATTCTTTGGCTTCCTTTAAATAAGTCATATCAACAAATGGTCTGTTACTACCAGTAATAATAGGATGTTTGAAATGTGGACATATCTAATGAGAATCTATCTCAACCCATTTAATGCGGGCCACTACTTTGCCACTGAATTACAGACTGGTCACTGCAACAGCTTCACCTGCATTTAAATGACTGAGCAACAGAAAAGTTTCTAAAGGTAAGGAGATGAATGCATTACTGTAGATTTTGTTTTGACCGTCATTTGTCTCACTTTCTACTAATTGGTAAATGGAGGAAGAGAGGATGTATGTCTGTATTGAGCTAAAAGTGAATGGGCAAGTGTTTGTGCATTTTAGTACAGCAGATTAAAATCTTGGTGGCTGTAGCTTTAGTATTTTAAACCAAAGTAAAGGGGTGATGTTGGCTTTCAGGTACTGTCTTCTTTTTTTTTTTTTTTTTTTAATTTTCTTTCTGTGTAGGTACAGAAGTGTGTTAAAACAATGAAGACTATTGTGGGCTGAAAAAGTAGCTCTTGAAGGTCTTCAAGATAGCTGGTAGTTATAAAGTTGATACTTGTATTTACAGCATAGCCTATTACTATAATATAACCTGGAACAAATAAATAAATCCTTTACTGTAGCAGATACATTTTAGCAGTAGTCAGAATAGTGTCAGAATTGGTCAGTAAGCTTCATTGTATACTCAGAGACATCAAATGTTTCAGGTTCTGTACCTCTTGTTTAAGGCACTGTGAGGTCATAATCTAAATCAGGTGTCCTGCAAATTTCCATAGAGCTCTCATTCTTAGGGGGAAAAAAAAAAGGAGAAAGGCTTCTGTACCCTAGTGAGTGGAGTGAAACCCTACTAACACCCTTTTTTTTTTTTTTTTTTTTTTTTTTTTTTTTTTTTTTTTTTTTAAAAAAAATACAAAGGTACAGACTTATGTTAAAGGTTCATCTGTAAATTCCTAAAATCATCTCTGAATTTACCTGTGTCAAGAAAATTTGCTTACCTAAATTATACTGCTGCTTTTCAACTCTTTTACCACTTGCAGAAAATAACAGATATTTCCTTTCACTAGATTTTGTATGCTGAACACATGTGAGATCCTTGATGTTTGAATCCATCCAGTTGAATAGAAATAACCTTATTCATATTCTAGAGTGCATTCACATCTGTGCATGTATGTAGACAGCTAGGTGTTAGTCATTTCCATCCTGTGCAGGTCTATTTTTCTGCAATGTTTTAAAATCTGTTCCTTGTCTTCTTGCTACAGAGCATTTTATTTATTTATTTATTTTAAGGCCTTCATGTCTCTAAGTGATCATTGAACAGAGAAAGTAAATTGCTGTTAAAATTCCCTCACTGGTGATTCCACCTAAACCAACCACAACTAGTATATTTAAAACAAAAAAAATCCCAGCTTTTTCCTCACTGGTGTCTAGCTAGCAGAGTGCATGAGTGTAGAGAGAGCTTTGACCCCAGAGAGCTTTTGCATGATAGACTCGTTTCAGATTCTTATGTAAATCATACTAAGGCTCCTTGTGTAAACTTGACAGTACCTCTCTGTACTTGACATAGTAACTTCAAGCTTTTATGTTATTTAAATATACTAAAATGTACCCTGTATAAAACTGCAGGTGCTGCTACACTTCTATTAGAGCAAGGTAAAATTTGCCTTTAGGAAAAACTCTGAGGCTGGTGAAAGAGTTAAGCAAAGCAGCCAGAAACCATTTTCAGCTTTTACTTTGCAGATACAACCTTTTAAGCATACCTACATTTACCTGCAATGGCAATCGTTTTGCATTTTAATGACAAATCAAGTACGCTAACTTGCATTTGAAACGAAAGTGCCTTAAATGTCTCTGGCTGTCAGAATGAGATGTTAGGAGCTTGATGAAAAGAGAACAAAGAAGACAAAGTATGAAGCCTAGATACAGAGCAAAATGAAATAAAACCTTGTATGGCCTGTCAGGGGTGTCAGTTGATATTCCTATCTAAAGCACATTATAGTATTACTTTGCAGCTCATAGCTTACTCATCTGTCTTTTTTAATTCATCACATTCTAGCCCACATCTTTTAAGTCCCATGTGTCAACAATGGAAGAAATCTGTTAATTGACAAATGAGTGTCACAAATGTGAATTGGTGCCTTTACATCAGAGGCAGGTAGTCTCTGTTGTTTTTTGTCGGCTCTATTATTGGCATAAGCCAGTGTAAGACATCTGTCTTTGCCAGAATGAGAGATGACAGCCAAAGAAGGGCTGTCATTGTTTTAGTGCATGTTCATTCTGCTGAGATACTGTATAAAGATAAAATGTCAGTTAAAAGAATATGAAAAACTAGCGGGAGGAAGTCCTTAAATTACTTGGGAAGGGGATCCGGGAATTGGTGCCAGAATTGAAATCTGAACGTTCCACTTTGCATCTATCACATCAATTTAAAAATAATACTTTCTGAGTAACTGGGTCAGTTTATAAGGCATTTAGGAAAACGTTATGTTGTGTTGGCATAATTAGCTCATAAGGTGGAAGGAAAAGCATACCTCCACAGGATATGAGTTTATTACAAGTTCATTTTTCAGACATGTATAGAATTGTCTTGATAAAAATATGCTGTGCAGCATCTCTGGTGTTGATTTGCATCTGTTTTGAAATATTGAAATTGCTCCTTTCCAATTTCTTTTTCTGTTATAGTTCTATTTTAGATTGATGAATAGCATAATGAAATAAAAAGCATAGCCAGCTGTGAGTTGATGAGACAATTAATAGGAAGAAAATTATTAACATAGTTCTGGGGTGTCTAGAGGTTGCACAAAAGTATACAAAAGTTACTCCCAAATCACTAAATCCCTTTATTGCAATAAATGACTTTTTAATATCAGGTAGTGAAAAAGAGAGGAGGAAAATGTTTTAATGGAGGAGGTGGAAAAGGGGAATAGAACAATGTTATAAAAGGCTGCCATTTTGGGTTTTGATTAAAAGGTGTAAGAAAGATAGATCATATTTAATCTTCAGCAACTTTAACAACCATATGCTATAGGTGCTACAGGACACTCCTCGTGTGCCCCCCTCCTTCCAGAATGACCTATGACTTGGGTTCTAAGTAACCCTGTCTGAACTTTGGGGTTTTTGAGGACTATGTTGACTGAATCTTGTGAAGAACTAACTCTTGATCTGTAGGAAGACTGTCTGCATTGAAGTTTCAAGACAAGATGTTTCTAAACAATTTATTTAAAGTCTTAATTTTAAAATTACTTGAGTTTGCATTTTAAATAGAGCTGTTCATATAGTAGATTTTAGAAGTTCTCAGTTTTGATACTACTTAATACAGGTAGAATTGTCATTCATAACTTAGTAGGACATCTGTTCATTTTTGTTTTGTTCTGGTGTTTTGTTTTTATAATTATAAAAATGTATTTTCTAATGTTTCTAGCAACTAGTAGAGCAGCAGAAAAAATGTCAAACTGCTGTTTCTCCTTCCCATCCCCACCATCTAATGTGGGGCACTCAAATTTTGTCTTTGATAACTATGTTTATCTCCAAGATGCCTCCTGACTGTTTTACTGCAGTCTGTGGTTAATGCTGATAGCAGTTTTAATTTTCATTCTTGAGGCAAGTTACAAAGTTTAGTACTTCTAATAGATGCTAGTAATTTTATGGGTCTTTTGTGTCTTAGGGTCTAAAAAGCTAAGAATGAGTAGCATACAGCTTCTTTTTACTTTTAACTGGATGGAAATATTGTGGTTTTGTAAATGGATCTTTAAAAAAGAATATGAAGAGAGAAGGTGGTTTGTCTCTTTAAAGCCCACTTTTTTTTTTTTTTTATTTTTTTTAAAAAAAAAGAAAAAAGAGCTAGAATTTTTGAAGTTCTTTGGAATTCATTTTCTAGACATCATTTTAAAAGATTATAGTCCATGAGGTTTAAGAAGTGTTTGCTGCTTGTATACAAAAGTTTATGTGCCTAAATTGAACAATTGTAATTTTATTAGTGGAAGGCTTATTCTTCCGTTACTAGCCTTCGCTGTTTCTAACTAAATTTCCAGTCAAAAGCCACTCTATTGGTTGGGTTACACAAAGTGCCAAGTGTATCTTTTCAGGCACAGTTTTTAGTAGTGTGTTCTCAAGTTCAGTTTCCTTTGAGAAGTAGAAAGACGACAATGTTGCCATCTTACAGATGGCAAAGTTGAGACGTGAGGAGGCCTTGTTAATCTATAGATGCCAAGTATCATTTTCAACCCTTCATACCAACTTGCATAAACTTCTTCTGCATGTTGTGAGAAGTGATGGTTGGCACCTGTCTACCTGCCAAATCTGTAGTGATCCTAGAGGTAGTTTATTTTCATGTGCTACTTAGCTGCGCTTTATATTATTTCATAGCAGGTGCATCACCAAGATGATGGTATAGCTGAGACTAAAAAAAAAGTGAAAAATTGAATGCATTGTAGACATGGAAGAAATTTTTTATTTCAGATGCATCAGGGTTTTCTCATATTTGTTCCTTTGTGGTTGAATGCTACATAATTATAAAAATAACAACAGTAACAACAAAAAAGGTGTGGACTGAGACTGTATCTTGTATTGTTGGTGGACTTTCTTTCCTAGATAAAAAATAAGAGATGATTGGTAAGGATAAGTAGGAAGATCTCATATCTCTTATGTGATTGAACTTCATTGTGAAAATTGATGTGTGGGAAATACAATTGGAGCTAGTTAAGATACCATCCTGTTCCATACCCCAGTGCTTACTGCAAGATGCCAGGTAAACCCTACAGGGAAAATTCAGCTATGGGAGTGTGTGTTTGTATGACAGTATTGTCAGTGTTACATTACCTCTAGAAAGGGAATATAGCAGAATTTAAATACAGAAACGTTGTACGTGTGTGAGCACATATCCTTTTGGTGATTCCCCCCCTCCCAACTGCCAGCTGTCATAGAGAATATGAAACAGACAAAAATTTATTGGGTAGTATTTAGAAACATGTCAGTGGTAACGACTGGATCTCTGATTTCAATTATCACCTACTAAATTTAGGCTAATGTAATGCGTTTGTAGACCTGTTGAATGCACCTGACATCATGTTTAAAATACTTGAAACTGCACTATTTTTTAATATCATATGTTGACCACTTTCTTTCTCCTATGCGCATCTGGTGCATGGCAGCAGGCATCCCATGTGACCTGTAAAAACTTCAGTTGTGCTAGTTTGAGAGTTTCTTTTTTTTCTTCAGATAATATTTCAGCCAAGGAGAAGAAAGTAGTCTGAGACTACGATACAAAAATTTACTTAATGAAACACTACTCTAAGATTTGTAATTCAGCATTTTTTCCCCTTTGCAATCAGTGTGTAAACAGCATTTTAAGCTTTATTCCTATTGTTTAGCATTACCTTTTCATTGAAAGTCCTTGGGTTTTATGTGCCTTGGTCACTTGGGTGTTCTTCAGACTATTTTAATAATGAATTACCTATAGTCACTATTTTTGTGTAGAATGATTGGATGAGGTTTAAGGTAGAATCTGTGATTTTACACAGGTTCTACTGTTAAATTAACACAGATTAGTGTGTAAATTCAAATTACTTTGAGTTCTGGTTTACTTACTCTGCAAACTTTTTATGTGCTATTATTTTGGATTATTGAGGGGGATCTTTTTCAAAAAAAAATGTTTCCTTTTTCAAGTGTTAGAATACTTTGTCAGAGTGCTGGGAAATATTTTTCTATCTTCCAATTGTATATTCTTTCTCTACCCATCATTCTCATGTATTCATTAAATTTATATGCTGATGTAAATTGTACACTTATGTTTGCAACTCTGAGCTTGCTTTCTAACTATTGGAACAGTAACTGTTGAAGGCATTTGTTCTGTAGTGAGTATTAATCTCACAGTTTTTAGTTTTTATGAAAAATATTATGAGCTTTTAAAGTTACGTGCATATCTGCATGTAAGTAATGTAAGAAAGAAAATAGTCTTCAAATATGTATAGGCTACTTTGAGTAAGTTCATTGTCCACATATTGGTAGCTGCATAGACAAACGGTGAATTTTGTAAGAATAAATATCCTCCTCCTTTAAGATATCACCTTGTTTGTACTAATTTTGCTTTGTTATGTTTTTTTGTGTCTTGAAATATCTTTTCCAGTAGTATTCTCAGTGGTGGTTAGGAGGTTCTTTTCCTTTCTAATGCTTCCAGACATCCTTTAGCTGACTTATCCTTAAGAATCTCAAAATTGTTTTAAACTGAAATAGTTATAAAAAAATTGTGAGCATGTTATCTGTTTCTGAAATACAAGACAGAATAGCAGAAGCTTTTCAAAAGGGTATTGGAAACATGGCTTTTGGGAGAGGAAACATCTTGAAGATTAAATTTCAGTAAAGTTGGATGTAGGTCTTCTGGTGAAATGAGTAAGAATGTACAGTCTTACTGATGGTTTGTTATTTTCAGAATTGCTAAAAGTGTCTTGGATGGTAAGTTTCAGGAGTAGTTTTCTCTGATGCTTATTTCCTGGGAATTTTGTTTGGTTTTGGGGTGGAAATTGCCTATGATTCCTTTGAAATTCTCCAAGCCAAATCTGGATGTAGATGGCATCCAGTAACTGCATGGGATCTATGTAGTAGCTTCATGGTGTAATTGAAATTACCGTAGAAAAGGAGCAATATTTCCTTTTCTGATTTGAGCTTGTCCAGCCTAAAGCTCATCATTGATCACAAGACACAGAAAATGCCTATGTAACTTTATTACATCCAGGCTATATATGGGCTATAATTATCTTCCTTTCATAGAGATAGGATTTTCTCAAAGGAGGATCCCTTTACCATGAGCCCTGCATTGTTTTTATTTTTCCCTGGACATTTGAAAAATGAAATCTAAGGCCTGAGAAGTCTTCAGAATATAAATTTCAGTTATAAACTAGGAACAGACTGTTTTAAGTAGCTTGCAGAACTTGTTTTGCTCTGTTGTATATTTCTTTAGTAGTTTGGGACCTCCTGATGAGTGGATTCTGTTCTATGCCATCAGTTCTAACAGGCTTTGTTGTCCCTACCAGAATGCTGAGATTTTGGAAGAGTGCAGGGTGGGTATTTAACTTACCTATTTTGATATGTTCTAATGATAGTATATTGGTTTGCAAATATAGGGAACTCTTCTGCTGCTCCATTTTGCTAATGTTTCTGATTACTCTGTACTCAGTTCTTCTCAAATCATTCCTGTGCTGCCTGACTTCCACCTTGGATGATCCAGTTTTGGACAGTTTTGCTGGCTTCCACTTTATTCCCACAAGTTCTTCTAACATGTGTGACTGCAAAAATGTTTCCTCTGCTTCCAGGTATCACTCACTTGATAGTATGGTGCCTGACAACCATATGTCTCTACAGCACCTAACTGTACTTTTGCCTTTTCTTTAAATCAATAGGACAGTTATTGCTTTCAGTACATTAGAGTGGAACTTCCTCACAAATATGTATTTGTCTGTTTACTGCAAATCTGTTGTAGGTGGTGCATCTGTTTTCACGTGCTATGTCAGAAAAGTTTATACATACTTGAAGACTAGAGAGGGAAAAAAAATTAGCGTGTTGCTGTTATCTCCTTGTTAAAGCTGATAAGTCTAATATAAAAAAGTGCATGCTACAGTCACAAAGGCTAGGAGGCTCAGGAATTTTTATATTGCCCAAGCAGACAGATGAAGTATATTTTATATGTGAGGAGGTAGGTAAATACTGGGATATTTATTATAATTTATAAGCCCCATCAATAATAAAAGTTTGAAGTGTATTAAACTTAGGCTTTATGTTAAGGTCTTTGTCCTGTTTTCTTGTTACTTCTCACAAATGCTTCATCAACCATCATAGTCCTGTAAAGTGATTTCTGTATAGTAATCAGAGGTCATTGTGGAGAACTGTAATCAGAATAAAAATCAGTTTATATTTTGTGGACAAATAATAATTAGTTGACTAAGAAGAAGCAAAAACCATTACACAATTTCATGAAAGCCAGAAAGAAGGGACAGAAGTAGAGAGGGGTGAATGCTTATCGTTGTAATATTAATATATTGTTTACTTTCAGTTCATGACTTTTGTCAGAGTGCTGTCTTTCTGTTGAATGGTCTGAATGTCCTTCTGGCATAGATTAGATTAATCCTTTTTTTAAATGTGAGCAAATACACATTTACTCAACTGGAGAGGAAATAAGATGACAATTAAACAAGTTCATGTTTGGGAAGAGTAGAAAGGAGTTTTATATTGGTATTGGCTTTGCATTTTGATAATGCTTTGTGATGCTTTCTCATTGCATGACTCCTACAGGAGAGTGGTGGGTTATGTGAAGACAAATGTCTTAGGAACAAAAAGCCTTTTTCTGCCAAAGCTTGAAGAAGGGTCTGTCTCTCTCTTTTTTTTTTTTTTTTTTTTTTTTTTTTTTTTTTTTTTTTTCTTCTCCTCCTGCAAAAAAGTCCAAGAAAACTGCTGACACTCAGAAGAGGAAAACATGATTTATGATGACATCATGTATTACCCAAGCAAAACTGTTTTGAGGAAGATTGTTTTTTTATGGTGTGTTCAAATAAAGAAACAGTGAATCATTCTTGAAAGAATATTGGTTCAGATTCTTCTCCCTTCTATCACCACCACCCCACCCTTGCTTTTCCTTTTCTACTTTGTCTGTCTTTGGGCATCTTAATATTGATGCTAGCCACAGAAAGTTGTTAAATTATCTTCAGTCCTTAAACATAGCTTCTTCATGTGGGTTGATACAAGAATAGTGTCTGCCATGTACCTGGAGGCCATTCCCAACTGCTTCTGAATAGTATTGGTACTGATTTACTGGCTCCAGCAACATTTAATTGCAAACTTTATTTGGAGGTAGTAAGTTTCCTTTCAGCCTCATCTCCTAATGGAAGTTGGTTGTTTTCAAACAATATTTCATTTATAGTTATTTGACTTAGTTAAAATGGCCTTTGTCTATGAAATGCTGTAAGACCAGTCTCAATATTTGTTCAGATGATGTCATCAGCAACAGAGAAGAAAGCAGATGAATAAAATACAGACGATATTCCAATGTTGAATATCTTAAAAAGAAAGCTAACTGGTAAAGTTGGGTAGATTACAGCAGTTTTATGGATAATGCTAGGAATTAAGGCTAAAAAGGAGTTGAGGTTCGTTATGTGAGTGCCAGAAAAGAGGTGATAACTCACTGAAAGTCTTAGACCGTGACTTGAGCAAAATTCTCAGACTGAGTACTGGTATCTGGGCTGAGACACTGGAGGAGCTGAGGAGCTGAGTGTTTGGTAGCTGCTGGGTGTACCAATGATTCCGGAGAGGGGGATGTCACACAAACCTTGTAAAAGTATTTCCCTTTAAAGTTAGGTCAGAAATGAACATTTATGACTGTTCCATGAAGTTCTTTTAGTTGTAGTTCTTAACTCTAAGGAAATACAAAATGCAGAGAAACAATTGTGGAGGTGTCCAAATTGGGGCTTAATAATGGTTGGTATTAGTTGGCCAGTTGCACTCTGCCTAATGTCTGAGGACCCCATGCATCGCTTTTACTGAAAGAACAGCATAGATTTAAGTAGCTGCTATAGAACACATCTCTTACTAAAAAAAATAAAGCTCCTAATGATACAACCAGATTCAAGCTGACTGTGATGCCTGTATTCATATTGAGCAATGCCTTGTTTTGTGATTTTTTTTTTTTCCCCTGTCATGTAGATTGGGCCTTTGTATGTAAGTATGTAAACGTTTTTTCCTATTATGTACCCTTCTGAATATGCCATGCATGCATTTGCCATTCCAACTAATGCTGTTTTGAGAAGCAGGGGCAAGGTTTGCAGTGGGACATGGCCTTTTCAGAAAACAGTTTGAAACTTGGCAGTTCTGTGTTGCATCAGGCAAGATGCTTCCTATCAGTTCACTGAAAGTGTTTTGCTGCTGCAGAAACAGGAAGAGGAAGGTGCAGCTGTCTCCACAAAAGCAAAATCTGGACCTTCACGGGTAAGTGGAAGTGTTGCCCATGAGCAGGGCAGGGGCTTCAGGCTCATGGTGAATTCCTAGCTTGTTCGGTGCAAAGCATCGACTCTTTTGCCTTAACTTTGCCAGGAGTCAGTGCTTTGTAGGGAGCTAAGAGTTAATGTGTAGTACTTCATTTCTCTATAAAGTAAGTGCTGCTGTGTGATTGGGAGTCCTATCCCTCATTTCCCCTCCCTTTGAGCAGTGGTATGATATATCTTACTTTGTAATTCTTGAAAAGTCAGCTTGATTGATTTTTATTTAATATGTGTTAGGCCCCAACCTTTCCACAGTCTCCTTTTAACCTTGTCAGATTTCTCTCTGGTGTTCCTTCTCCTATTTTGAAACAATTAAACTCTTGTAATATAAAGTGATGTACACCTCAGCTTTGGTAAGTATTTTTGAGAAACATAGAGAAACTGGTGTTTGCAGTAAAACCCCCATTTTTTTCTTGGAGAGACCCTACGTGTTGTGAACAGATCTGTGAAGACTGAGTCCTTGCAAAATTTCAGTTGTCCTGTAACTTATTCAACAGATTCTATGTAAAGATTACAGCAAAGTTAGTAAGAATCCTGTCATCATCCATAGAAAACATGTACCAGTGTATCATTAGTAGTCTGTCTGTACTATAATGTAGACTGTCATGGCCCTGAAAAGGTGACTGCCTTTTCCTCCAATTAAATTATAGGCTTATAGCATGTGCTTAACTATGTTCTTAATTGTTTTGTAATACAGGAGTGAAATTAATGTCCTTATATGCTTTGCTGAGTCAAGATCTTGGTGGATTCCTGTACTCATGTTTCATGGTGTTAAGTCTCTACCAATGTTCGTTCTTTCTGTTAATAGCGATAAAGTCACAAAGCAATTATACTCTGGCAAGCTGTCCTTTAATAACCTTTGTCATTTGTCAGAGTGCATTAGGCCCTTGAAAATTTTTACAGACAAGCTATTGGTCTTCATGAACTAATAGAGTGCTCTGATGTGCCAGCTCATTTGACTTGCCAAACTGCTGTTAGTTGAGAGGGGAGCTCACGTCAATTTAAAGAAATATTTTACACCTTTTTATTAGAGCAAAAGATTTTCAAGCAAGATTAAAACCTGATTTAGCAACAATCAACAAACAATGCTCATTTGAACCGTCTCAGCCTTCCAGTCCTACAAAGCTTGTTTTAAGCTTTTCAGTTCTCTTTGGATGTGAATGCAGTTTATGTTAAACTAAAAAAAATGTATAATGATGTTCATGTGTTAAATTTTGGTGGTTTTATCATAAGCATGTATTTATAATGCTACACCTCTGAGTATTTGGGACTTTGAACACTGCTCGTTACACTACAAAGTTATAACTCAGTGTGATTCTGTCTTCTTCAATGATATTTCTTAAATTAGTGTTATAACTACAGGGTCTATTCCTTCTAGTCATTTACCTTTATAGTTATAACTTATAAATTTTGGGATTGGCATGTTCTTAGGTTACTTTCTGTAAAGGAAAATATGTGAGAGGGAAAGAGAGCAACTACCTGTAAAACTGTTTAGTGTTTTGTGAACTGTCTAGTGATAAGGATTAAAAAAAGTGATAATTCTGTTGCTGTTGTGGTAATTTAAATATATACATTTTCATTTACTCCTGACAACTTCAACAGAGAGCTCTGATGCTTAGGGTACATACTACAGCTCTGCTTCAGTGATTGCTTTCTTCTTGGTTAGATCATGTTGAAGCCTGATGGATCACTTTGACTTTCTAGATGTGTACACTCCAGCATTCAGTTCTTGGGTACACAAGGAGACAGATTAAATATATAGAAGCCAGACAAATAAACATGCTTTGCTGACCTCTGACTGGAGCTGGGATGTAGCAATATATACACTTTGTAATAAAAATAGCCTGTGTTCTTTTGAAATATTCAAATGTATTTTTATCATTGTTACTACTTGGAAAGTAAAGCTTGAACATAATCTGCATCCCAATATTTCTAGCTATTCTGACAGAGTTAGACTAGACACTATGTATGTCGTTAATGAACAATATAATTCACAAAGAATACATTTAAATTGCAAAAAGTTATTGACTGATGGAAGTATTTTGTTTTGTAGTCTCTGCTATCTTCTTTGAAGCAAACATTATTTCTTTTTTTTTAATTGCTTATCCCACCTGTGCTACTTCATTATTGTAACGAACTGGGTAAATGACCCAGCAGAGAGATTTCAGTGTTAAGCTGATACTGTTTCTGTTACATCTTCCTTTTTTTGTTGCTTGCATGAATATGCACATATATGTATTCTGATGGAGTTCTGTCTCATTGTTGAGCTGTTAGTCTCAGTATTGTGTGTGTGTGTGTGTCTTATTTTTATTTTACAAATATCCATCTGGCAACTGAAGACAAGTATTTTGTTGATGGATTAGAAAGGTCCAAGGTTCTTGAAGTTTGCATGTCCTGTGAAAAAGACAGGTCAATTTTTTCATTCTGGACATCTGTCTCTCATAAGCTCATAAATTGCTCTTGAAGCTGGATAAAAAAAATACTGAAGGCAGCATCATATTTAAGAGTTTAAATGTGCTGATTGGAGTGTCTGAGAGTCTAACCTCAGGCAAAAGGTCTCCAGTTCAGTCTTTTTGACTGATGTGGAGTGGTCCACTGTTAATAATTTAGTTTTGAGACCTACTAAATGAAAAATAGGAGACTCATAGCATCAGTATCACTGTTTATCTTCCCTAGAAAATATGAACTGATTGTATTTTGATATATGTTTCCATTCTTTACACATTTAACTGTTCTCTGTTGTAGCCACTGCATCTGATTTTTTTTTTTTTCCTTAATGAGCAATGATTTTATATCTACAGAACACATAGCTTGCCCTGCAGGACCTTATGTTCATTTTTAGCTGCTCTGTTTGTGTAGTAAATAAAAAATTTCTTTTTGTGAGTTAAAAGAAACATGGCAATTAATTTGTGGGAGAAGCAAAACAGTGGTCCACTTTGTCTAACAATGTATTGCCAAAATAGCTGGTACTAACTGTGGTGGAGGAAGAAATTGTATGAGAAACAGTGAAGAGGGGATTTAATCACAGCAAACCTCCTGTTTCTTCAGAAGTGTTTTGGATGGAACCTTTGTTTAAACAAGGGTTTTGATGGCTGTGTAAAATCAACATGCTATAGGTTTAGGTCCAGTCCTTGCCAGATGCGAGTGTGTTGCACTTCAGTCTCACAGTTTAGTAGGTATAAGAGGTGAAATGCAGCACTGATTAGCTCTAGATTGTTTCCTGGAGTTCTAAAGATTGTTTGTGTACTAAAGATCTTGTATCCATGGTTTTCTACATTTTAGAACTTCAGAGGCAATTTTGATTATGATGTGTGGGGCAGAACATTCTACACCATTTCTTGTGTAGTCAGAGTGACTGTTCAGTGAGAAGGTTTGTTTTGTTAGCAAAACATGACATCAAGATGTGCACACAAAGTAGTTTAAAAACGTTATTTTTATTCTTTGGAAACAGGTGTATTTTCCAAAATATTGTATAGTTTTTATAGATTTTACAGATGAACAGTTATTCTTCTGAAATTAAATAATTATGTACACAGTCATTAGCTTGCTGAAGACCTTTTTTAAAAATTAAAGTGTTTGTGAATATGAGAGTTGAACAGCTGCTAGAAGATGTATAGCTCATCCAAAGCTCTAAGAGTGCAGAAGCACTAGTGAGGAAACAACATTTTCTTCCACTGATGGTTATGTTACTACTTTTAAAAACTTGTCTGTGTTGACTTTCTGTATTGTTTTTCTTCAAGATGTTTCCCAGTAATTATGAAGACACATCCTGGATAGAACCATGACATTTTATAAATTATTTAAAGTAAGATAGACTATTTTGAAACAAATATAATTCGTCACAGTACCTCTTAATACGCAGCTTATATATGGGGTATATTTAGAATAACCCAGAAGATTAGGTTTTAAGTACTTGTGTTCTAGATCCATGTTGAAAAAAAAAAAAAAAAGGTGATGAGGATCAAAACGAGTTTTAAACTCTTAGGCATTTACTATACCTTTGGAAATTAAATGAACTTTGGTAGCAGCTATTATCTAGCTTACAGTTCCTATAATGTTCACTAAAATAAAGATTTATCAAACTGGTAATTTTAAAAATGTTCTTAAGCTTCCTCAGATCATAATAACCTAGTTTAACTGTACTATTCTGAAATTGGTGCTCAGACAGAAGAGGAGGGAGGGATAATTGGGCAGTTACTGTGGCTCCAGAAAGTACTGGGTTTGTCCTTGTTAAACAGGGATGTTTTCCCTTCTAATTGCCTCAGAAGTGTTACTGCCCATGCCTGGCACTTGCTGATCTACATAGAATGTATAACTGAACTACATAGAATAGGTTTTTGATGTTTTTCTAACAAATACATATACACTGATTTTCCTTCCCCCCTGCCCTTGTCTGTGGAAGCTCACTTGACTTCAGTCTTTTCAGGGCATCTGTACCGTGTGGTAATATTGATTTATTTTTTTGGTTTGATTTAATGAAACTGCAAGTTGCAAAATAGAATCCCAGGAAGCTGCATGCTTTCTGTCTTAATCTGATCATCAGAGCACTATTTAAATTTTTGTTGCTGTCCACTCCTGTGTGACTCTACGTCTCATTGAAATATACTTCAAAAAGTGAGTATTTCTAAGTGAGATGTCTGTAAATCAATAGACACCCTTTCCATGTCAGTGTACTAGGCTTTTTCTTTAAGCAAAAAGAATGTGTGCGTGGTTTGGTAGGAGGAATAATACTTTCTCCATAGAGAAGAAGGGGAAGTGTATTTCTTCACAATTGAAGATAATTAGCTTGTTTTTGTTAAGTTAGGTCATCACATTAGCTATTTAAAAGGTACACAGTGCGCCTTGCTTGTCTCTTCTTTTCCCTGTTATCATCTAAGGAAATTAATGCATGGAACAGGACTGTCATTTTATTTGGTACTTCTGCTCTAAAACTGAGCATGGTTACCAGCACTCCCAGTATGGGACATGAGAAGGTAATGAGACAAATTTCTTCTCCTGAATTTGGAGATTGTTTTTGTATGCATAAATGTGAATTTCCTTAAGGTATTCAATCATGTTCCAGCTTTGCTGTTGCTGTAGATGAAGCATACCATAAAATCGGATAAATCAACCCTGTTTTTTGCCAAAATGAGATGCCTTGGGGCATATTTGTGCTGCTTCTATGACATGTGGAACAGTCGGAGGTAGCTTCTTGAACATCTAGGCTGAAGAGGGCAAAGAGCACATCAGGCTGCCTTCAATCTTGGCTTCCTATGCAGACTTCTGGGAGAAGTATTCACAATGTCTACATAAGGAATTCATCATAAGTGGCTTGAATACTTCCTATCGATTTAAAAAACTGTGGTGTCACAAACAAATCTGTTGAAATGAAGAAGTCAAATGTCTGAGGAACTACGGAGTATCAAGACACTCATTTTTATCCCAGTGATGTTTTTTGCCTGTTAGTTCCATGTATTGCTGTTTGTACTGTGCTGACAGACTGCAAAGAAAACTGTGTCTCCAATGTACAAAATTTGCAATCTTCATAGAACTTGTAAGTACTGTTCTCTCAAGTCGAAGCACAAAACTTAATTCCTTTTCACGAAAACAACACACTCTACATCTCTGTTCCCATTTTTAATTTCTTTTTTCATTCCAGTCAGTGAAACAGAAAATAATATTGGATACTGGAAGGGACCTTATCTGGCTATATCTTAAAGATAGATCCTGAAATTGGGTTGCGGTGTTCTTAATTCAGCTGCTGCCTTTCACTCTTCCTTTTCTGTCTCCCTCTTCCTCCATGAGATTGATCTGAGTGTAGTATTTCTGAATGTGTGTCTCTCCTTTTCACAGAAAAGCATTTCAAAGAGCAGTGATATAACTGTTACTTGACATTTAGGCTGAGCCTATACCTCCTTGACTTCATGTAAGTGTGTTCTTTTTTTCCTAGAGCCTAAAAGGACCTTTGTGAAAGCTAATTGTACTTCATTGATAGACCATTTATTTTGCTACCATCTCTTACTGCCATCCTCCCTATTTTATTTTTTTTTAACTATTTGACTCTCTAAAAAAAATAAAAATTCTGATGGTTGAGTTATGCACAGCCAAACTGGCCAAACCTTTGCATCCTCCCCCACCCCTATAATCATAAGGTTGATTAGCCAAAGTGATGAATAAGAAAATGTGGACATTGAATATGTTACTTAACCTCTCTTTGCCCTACACTTGCATTTGTAAAATAGAGACTGAAATACTAAACCGCAAAGAATGCTGAAGATTAATGCATGTTGGTAAATCACAATTGCTAAAGATACTACAGAAATATCTTGTTAATGTTACCTGAATTAAGTCATTGGTCAAAAAATAGAATCAAATTTATTCTCAATTTATGGTTCAGCATATTGTTTTCCAGCTGTGATGATCTTACAACATGCTAAAGTTGGTAGGATTCTGTGTTTTGATAGCATCAGTGCAGCATTTTATTATTAATCAAAGACAAAAATATTCCTGGTCCAAGAATTACATGTTATGTACTTGCTATATAGAGTTAAATTTCTCTTCCCTTGTTCCCCAAGTAAATTGCAAATTAATACTAATAAATCACATTGCAGCAGTTGGTAAGAAGTGAAAGTATTTTAAATAATTAGTTTTTTTCAGCCCCCTTCCCCCCTCCCCCCCTCCCGCTTCCTTTTTTATGTGGTGATTTTTTTGACTCAAAATCAGCATGTCTTGTGCAGTCTACCTATAATATATAGTTGTTTCAAATCAGCTTTACTTACTGAGCTTTTTCTAGTAATGGAGCTCTGTCAGCAAAAAGCATATGCACCAGAAAATGATGAATGATGGACTTGTGTCAAATGGAAGCTTGAAAGGTGCTTCTGTTGTGAGATGGATTAGTCTGAACCAGGAGTTCAAAACTCCTCAAGTGTAATTGTTTCAGAGAAAAGGTATCCCTGGATTGATAGGGTAGGGTAAGCACTGAGAGTCAGAGGAAGAACTACTTCATCAGATGAAAGTGAAGGTTTACTAATCCACAAGAGTAGGTTTTGTTGTTGTGAGATTGCTTGTTTGATATTTGTGCAAGTTATTTTTCTTTTTAATGTGAAATTTGTAAAGATTTAACTTTGTGTAATTGAAACATGCTGATATTTTGAGATTTTTTTTCTTATAAAATTAGTAAGCTTAATTCCAGTGATGTGGCTATTGGCAACAGTAATTTCAAAATAATCTGTTATATTTTCTAAAAATGTTGATTCTTGTTTCAGTAGTCATTGTTAGCTATGAAACCTCTTTAATCTTCTATAGTTGTTCTATCAGTTACAAGCTGATTAAGATAATTAGGGATAACTATTTCAATGCAAGACATCCTTGTGTAAACTCTCTGTAAATTGTAGTTTTATATAAATAGTATTCTAATACTGTGGTTCATTGTTAAATGTATTGTCCTGTCATGTTGTTGTTGTGTAAATCACATTGGGAAGAAAACATTTACAAAGGAAGAAATTTGAATTAGGAATTAAACTTTTGAAATATTTTTCCTGATTTTTATGTATCATTTTAGCTATGCTTTAAATGGGTGTGCCATAAAAGCGTTCAACAAAAGAATTAACTATAAGCACAGAGGCTTCGTTCACTGCTCCTCAGTCTTTCCGTTGTGCCAGTTTTTCCTTCTCTTCTGCTTCTTTGCAATTGTTAGCCTTCATGTGAACTGAAATGTACTTCAAAACACTGGAAGAAATAGTCTGAAAGCTTCATGCGCGTTTGCTTCATAGTAAAGAGAAGCAAAGAAGTTGAAGACTTTTTCCACTGACAGGTGTTTGTGTGTCAGAGCAATGAATGCTTTTGATGGCAAACACACTTGCTTTTCTTCATTGTACTCTTTCTAA